CTACTTTTCAAACGAGATTTTATAATAAATAATGCGATAATTCAGAGCTAATAACTATTATATCTGATAAGACACGAAGTCTATTGTTTTATGTATTAAAAGTAGGACGGTACAAGTACTGAATTAATCTCAGAAAATGATGTAAATTGTAATTATAAAAAATTATTTAAATCACAGAACGAAATCATTCACTGTCGCTAAATTTTCAAATGTATTTTCGTATAAACAGTGAAGGGATCAGTTTATTAATTACATTATCAAAAATTGTTTAAAAAATATGATTAAAAACTTTTCGGAAGAAAATTCATTTTCAATGATAATGTTTTAATTCTGATTTTTTTTTTCTCTTTGTTTTTTTTTTTCGATTTAAAAACGAACAGGTTCTTACCGATTGACTTAACAAACTTGTATCATAAAATTTAGGTCACTTGTGAGCAACGAGATACAAGCTGCATGCAAATATTTTAATTATATTACGATTTTCTCTTATAAAGTTATTCATTTTTATATACTATTATTATTATTATTATTATTATTATTATTATTGTTATTATCATTGTTATTATCATTGTTATTATTATTATTATTCTAAAAACTATATTTCCAAGTTAATAATATTATTAACTGCGAATGAAAATAATTAATATGCGATTGAAAATGCAAACTAAAGAATGATTATCTAAGTATTTCGTGTTCTTATTTTCCTTAATGATAAATAATAGGAAATTTTGTGTTTCGCGAAGTGTTTCGGAATATCTTCAGATTGAAAATCCTCGTCCTTATACTTTTTAATGTTAACGATCATATATATAAAAAAAATTGTATTTCCGAATGTTTTAGTTTAACGTACAATTAATTCTATTATATTTATCGAACCTTGATATAATAATTATTATAATTAATTCATTTTATTTATTTATTGGCAACAAAATTTTAAATTTAAAACAGCATATGATTTTATACTAAGCAAATGTATGTGTAAATAAAATTAAAAATAACATTCTTTTCGTCATGGAAAATTGAATCAATAATAAAAAATATTGTGCAATTCATTGCTGTATTTCTCTTTACCATTGATTTAAAATATCAATATTATTAGATGAAGTTGTAATTGGTATTAATTAAGCAATTATTAATATGTAATATATTGTATAATTAATTTTATGCTAATTTCTATTTACTTAAAAATTTATATATCATAATAATTATATATATTATATATCATAATATTTATATATCATATCATATATATATATATATATATATATATATATATATATATATATATATAGAGAGAGAGAGAGAGAGAGAGAGAGAGATAGAGAGAGATAGAGAGTATTTTTAATAAAATATTGAAATGTCAATTGTGATCAGTTAAGATTGAAAATCAATATAGCAATGATAATAGTTTTCATGTTACACGATTAAAAAACAAAATTAGTTTATTTATAGAAAATATAAACGAGAGAAAAGAAAGTTCCTATGTTATAAAATATAGTATCTAGATAAACATTTTTAATAAAATAGGACAATCAAATAGGACAATCAAATACACATTCTTCAGCATGAAACGTATGAAGTATATTAAATGCATTCGGTATCTAAAAAAATTATAAAAATATATACAAATTAAGTTGAACAAGAGTAACATACATATTTAAATATAAAATGGTAAATAAAAGAAGTCAGTAGTGGATTTTATTTGGAAAAATATATTGAAGAATAAATAATTGTCCAATCTCAGGTGCTCAATATTTAACATATTAACTTCCATCTAAGAAAATTATATTTAAGATTTAAGTATATGTTTATATATATATATATATATATATAAATATTCGACTGTTGCAATAAAATAGTATTTAATTATTTAATTATTAAAAGTGTTATATTAATTATTTTAAGTGTCTTATTGATAATAAAACATTAAACATTCGGTAAATAATAGTATTAAGTACGTCGAACGTGAGAGAATTGCGACGAGTACAAAGGAGATGATTATGATGTTTGATTTCAATGAAAATTCATACGTAAGTTCTTAAATAATTGATAATTATAAATCGTTATTGAATACAAATTTGATATACACTTACAAATAATATATTATCATTTAATTCAGAAATTTTATTTTAATACACTTTCCTGATCTTTCCATTATATAACACAAATTAATAATAATAATATTATTAGTTAATCAGGCTGCCGATTTATCATTTTATTATGAACGAAGTATCAATTTATAAAGCAATTATTGATTAATTTGTATATTAAAATTTTTACTATTTTCGTACTACTATAAAAAGGGTAATTTGTTTTATAATTATCGAATCTTTATTATTACCTAAACAGTACTAAAATCAATGGAATTAAATTAGAATATTTTTTAATTTGGAAATTTAATTGTAATATCACTCCAATCCAACAATAAAATGAAAAACAAAATCAAAACGAAAACAAATAAGAAAATTAATTAATTATGTTAAAAATATCATTTGTCATTCCAAAGAACAAGTGCAATATATAATAATCATTGATAACGGTAATATTTGTGTACGTTTCATCGATCCTTAATGATCATCTTATCTAACGAATGATACATAATAATAATAATAATAATAATAATAATAATACGCCTTAGATCATTCAACACTATAATAATAAAGGCAATATTTAATATAAATTTGAAATAATAAATAAATATTGATAAAAATACCAAATTGAATTAAATTAGCGATGGCTTAATCACATAAACGATGGAAATTACATTGCCAATTGGACTTATGACTATAGGTTCATGATAAATAATGTCATAAATTCGTATTATCGATATATTATCAATTTTCAAAGAAAATTTCCTTCCTTCATCCTCAGTACGCAAACACTTGGAATGATCCCAAAGCACCTGCTTGCTAATATCATAAAACGACAGAGGCGCGAACTTACAAATTCCAAAATAGCGGGTCAAGTGCAAGTCGACTTATTCAAATATCCGCTTTCCTTTGCCATCCACGTACTTACGGCTTAATTTTCGGTTTCCCTTCGCTAGTGCACGCAAGCGCATACCCCCGCCCAGCCCCTTCTCA